TTGGGGTGGGTGTGTATGTGTGTGTGTGTGGGTGGGTATGTATGTGTGTGTTTGGTGGGTATGTGTGTGGGTTGGTGTGTGTGTGTGTGGGTATGTATGTGGGTGTGTGTGTGTGTGTGGGGGGGGGGGGGGTCGGTGTGTGTGTGGGGGTATGTATGTATGTATGTATGTGTCTGTGTTTATGGGTGGGTGGGTATGTATGTGTGTGTGGGTGGGTTGGTGTGTGTGTGTGTGTGAGAGAGAGTGGGTATGTATGTGTGTGTGTTTGTGGGTTGGTATGTGTGTGTGTTTGTGGGTTGGTATGTGTGTGTACGGGTGGATGGGGGTAGGTAGAGGTGGATGGGGTGGAGTGGAGGTAGGTAGAGGTGGATGGAGTGGAGTGGGTGTGTGTTTATAAAAAAAATTTGAAATTAGAAAAATGTGGAAAACAATAATTATCAGTTTTCCAAAATTTTACAACTTCTTTGTAATTTTAGAAAACAGAAAATTTTCATTTTCCGTAAAAAATTTAGAAAAATAGACGAACTAAACGCGTTTTCAAAATTCTCATTTTTCTTGGAAAATTTTTCCGGAAAACGGTCCATTTTTCCGCAAGTAAACGCACCCTAAATGTCTTACTGTGTTTTAGGGTTAAATCATATATTATATGCCTTTAAAAACATATGGAAATTAACCATATAAAAATGTTGTTACATTCTGAACAAAGACGTTTTATCAGACAAACTAAACAAGATTAACATCATCTTAACATAAGTCTATTGACTTTAAAATGATTGCATAGGCTCGCTCAAATTAACTTCTACATACTCTTGTCACAGTTAAAAGCTATTCCCTAAACAACAGAACTTACAAACTAAAAAAAAAATCCATACAAGTTTACTGGATTACTTTAATTTCCCAAAAACAAATTCAACCAAAACTTCAAATATTCACAACCCTAAAAAAATCATTCAGCAACATCCTGTTCACCAGTTGCAGCTTCATTAAATGATGCAGCCAAGATTTCTGCAAGACTTGGTTGAGAACCAGACTGCTGTTGCTGATGTCTTGAAGGTGAGACTCTCTGTTTTTTAGTGTTAGAAGAATACAGAAGCCCTGGTTTTGGTTTCTTTTGGGACTTCCAAATCACAGGTTCTAGAAACTTCCAAGGGTCTTCCACCATTGACTTGTTGTAAAAAAGATCCGGCCGATCTTCTGCCGTCACACTGTTGTGGGACCCACGCCCTCCACCCTGTCCTTGTCCTTGTCCTGACCACCTACCCCTGCCCATACCCCTGCCCGAGCTCATGTTATTCCCGAACCACTGACCTCGTCCTTGGTTAGGACCAGAGGTAGAGGTAGGGTACCCTGGTCCTGGACCTGGACCATGGTTGAGGTGGGGTCCAGGACTAGGGTATCTGTACGCTCTTCCTGGACTAGGGCCAGGAAAAGGGTACCTTGGCCCTGGACTAGGGTAGTTGCCATGGCCTGGCCCACTGGTGAAGTGGGGACCACGGTAGGGTCCAGGGCTAGGGTACCCACCTTGTGGTTGTGGGGTATTGGGTGTATAAGAAAAATTAGGGTTTTGATATTGTCCATGTGGTGGTGGCTGCATTCTGGGATTGGGTGAGTGATTTAAATGGGGTTGGAAGGAAGGTGAAGGAAAAGTGTCGTTGATCTGTGGCCCTGTTGAAAAAATATATAATTTTAATATTAACAAGAAAAATTCACTGTCATTGTATGTAAGCTATGACTATTATGTTTTGAATATATAATATTTTAAAAAATAAATGAGGGTAAATTTGTAAAAAGTTAGGACTTCATGGCTTTCTGATATTAAGTCGTTCTTTTTGAATTAAGTCAAAAGAAACACCTTCACATAGCTTAAGTGCTTATCAAATTACGTCATGTCTCCACTAAGTCCATTAAGTCAAGATAAATCATGCATAAGAAAAACACAATGAAAAATTAAAAGATTAAAAAATGGTATTACTTGGCAGAATTGATGAATAATCATGAGATATCTGAGGGTTGACCTTGGTCTTCTGTTTGTTCCCAGAGTATGCAGCCATAGGGTTAGTGTAATAATTAAAACTCTGACCCAATGGTTGCACCTGACTATTGGGGTTAGCCATGGGTTCAAGAAGTGGGTTCGAGAGGCTAACCGCTGATGGCTCACCCCCTTCATTGTAAGTGGGGCCCTCCTGTGAAGAAGCTTCCATTCGCATGGCTTTTAGTCTTTCTTTTCTCTGTGCTGACTCCTCCATTGATCCTGTGTTGATAACAATATCCCTTCAATGATACTTTAACTGATGGAAATTTCAACCATGTTTAGGTGAAAACAGAATATTTTGGGTTACAATTTAGGGTTAAATGCAAGAAATTGTAATGTGCTTTTATTTATTTGTTTATTATAACATCCTGCTTTCGTTTCTTCCTGTTCCAGCATTGTACTTTGAAAAAACTACCTAATTATAGCAGTGTCATCCATATACAAAGTATTTATAGTTGGATAATATTAAAAGCATGATGCTTTAACTGGATAGATTTGTATAAGAAGAAAAATGAAGTACACAGTTGAAATAGACTAGTCTAATAGAAAGAAATGAATGTAAGATGCTATAATGAATAAAGCAATGGACGTATGTTTGCTCTTTCTTGCATTTAGCCCTGTATGATATTAATAAAGCGTCAAATGGGTAAAACTAAACAAAGCATACTCAAGTATTTACATCCTAAATTGTTCTATTTTAAATATCTCGATCGTTATTTTAATGACGTTAGCTCTATACATTAATCGTAGTTGAGATCATGATCATTTATTTCATCATCTCCAACTGCAACCTATGTTGGTTAGATATTTTTTGTAATTTGTTGCTTAGATGCGAAAGCCAAATCTTCAAAGAGTCTCATGTTACAATATGTCATGCATCAATAAGAGTACTAAAATGAACAATTGTTTCGTTGATGTCCAACTCTAAATTGACAAGCGGGCTATGAATATCCTAAAAAAGGATTCTGGTATACTACAGTGACAAAGTTTATTATTTGATTCAACTAAAACTAAACCGAAGACTACAAAATTCATACCTGAAAATTAAGTGATTTAACTTGAAACCCTAGTCTCCCTCTGAAATTTCAATTGTATTTGGTAAATTGTAGCTTGCAGAACTATTGTGCATATGTGATGATGAAAAGAAATTGCCGATGGTGATAATATTGGAGAAAAACTCAACGGACTGATCGATTGTATGCAACTATGGCCAGGTTTTCATCTGCATCAACTATGATGGAAACGGCGATGAAGGGAAGCGATATAATGGTGAAGTCGATGACGGGAGTGATGAATGGAGACGGCGGTGAACGGGAATGATGTATGGAGACGACGGCGAAGAACCGGGGAGAAGGGACGCTGCTGAAAGAAAGGGAAAGAAGACTAGGGTGGGAGTCTGCTGTCTGTGAGATCGGAGAAGAACTGAGGGTAAATTCGTAAAAGAGGTTTATAAAAATAAAATCATTAAAAGTTGTTTCGATAAATAATATTTATTGAGGATTCGAAAATTTTCACAAAATTTTTGCATTCGTGTCCCGTTCAACCGTAACTCAAAGAAAAAAAAAATTGTTTTCTAAGGTGCATAAGAGTGAATATGTATATCTGAATGTTAAAATATACATATATGAATGTCTATAGTTTTTATTTTTTGTTAAAATTTAAATATATGATTATCTACGGTTTTTATTTTTTGTGTTTTTTTTTATACCATTTATATATAGACGAAATGTCTAGATGTTTGTGGCGGTGTTTGGAGTGAAAGATTTTAGACAGAAAAAAGTTAACATGCAAATATAGGTTTAAGAATAACTTAACCCTTAAATGATATTTACGTTTTACCTGTTAGGCTGTTACTTCAATAGCATACACCACAAGTTTTGAAAAGTGGACGCTTTATCCAACTCCATAACTAGCTCTTCATTATATGATTCTAAAAACGTTTAGATAGTATAGGAAAAACAAAATTAGGTCCATAAACAACACATGTTTGTGCGGTTGCACACTGGACATGTGCTTAGGGTTGGCCCTGAGTCTCACTTATGTAAAGACAATGTCATTTTACCAACAGTCTTTGTAACTATGCCTATTAGTTTTAACCCTCTTTCTCTTTTGTATTCAAAGCCTCTTCCGCATTGCTTCCTACAATTGACTAAACGAGCATTGTTGGACAAAAATTTAACCATGTTTCAGCCTACGTCTTGGACCATTCAAGGTTCAACCACTAAACTTGATGTAAAAGAGTACAATTTCAGTATAATTGCTTACAGCTAAAAAACACATACACGAACACATAATATATTAAAAGAAAATAAACATATTTCAATTATTTATGCCATAGTTAATTTACCCACCTTCTTTGTAACAAATGACAAATATATGAATCATATGGCTAGAAGATAAAATATTTGACTCCACAATACAATTACTTGATAAGCACACTTGACCATTTATATAATTATTATATATACTATTTACAAGTGGAAAATGAATGTATACTAATTTTAGAAAAGGTCCCTATTTAGTTTATTTTACAGGGTTTATATCTTTAAGACTTTCGTATGTTGATAGGTTTTGTTCTATGTAAAAAATAAATTATAAAAACTGTCTTTTTATTAAAGAGAAGATCCATGTGCATAATTTTTTTTAAAGAAACGGTTTCTATATTTAAAAAAATTAAAAAATAACCCTTGCCTAATAAAACAAATTACTGCCCCGCAAAAGAGAGGTAATATCACTCTAATTTACTCTAATAACTTATGACTTAGAATGTTAATAACTTATGACTTAGAATGTTGTAGGAATTAAATTTCATCCATGTTCCGGTGGATTGTTAAATTGTTTTTGGAGTAAGTTATTTTATTGACTTTAAAAAAAAATTTGAATTTCTTGCACTTTTTGAACCAAACACAAAAATTGATGAGAAATGAATACCCCTTCCAGTGAAATCTTATGAAATACAGCAAACCAAATGTCCTCTTATTATCTTTTTAAAGTTTTAGATTGTGGGAAAACTGGAAAAGAAATCAAAGTACAAGGTCCAATTGAGAAATAATTCAAAGTTTGCGACAAAATTTGATAATGATCAAATAGTTTAGGGTTTTATTATGGCATTTGCCCTATTTCTTAATACCATGTTTCACTTGTATTCCGAAAATCTCCCACACCTACACCTCCCCTTTCTTAACCATCACCGGCCACCGGATTCCAACGTTTTCGTCCTCAATTGCCATTCAACGACTGCATGCATTTCTTTTTGGCGAATTAGGTGATTTAGATCTCTGCTACTATGGGCGTCAATTTCGTATATGTATACGTGTGATCGTGTTAAATTTCATCGACATTATTGCATTATCTGATGTGTTTATGAAGCTCAATTACTTCGTTCTTCATCATTGATATATTCGTCTTGATTTTGTATTTGCTGTTTTGAATTTGGCAGAATTAGAATTTTGGAATCGGATAGGCAGCAAAATGGAGAAGGCTGGCAGTGGTACTGTGGAGTACATTAACAAGATGTTTCCTACGGGTTAGTTTATTTCACCTTCTGTATGCTCCTGTGTGCGTGTATGTTTCGAAATCAGATCATACTGAGATACTGTTTCCGCAATATCCATAAAACATAGTGTACTCGAAGGACATAACGCAGAGAACCTAAACGACGTGAATTTAGTTTCGTTTCTTTGGTCAATGAAATGCTTCACGTAGTAGATGGACCGGATAATTGGTAAATTGAGACTATTATTACTATTATTTACTGTGGAGGAATAGTAACGTACCTTTTTGTTACCTTACTTTCACTGCGTATGAGCGTTCTTTCCCTTCTGTTCATCATTGTTCGCTTCTGAACACATTCAGTGATACAGGAAGGAAATTTTAGAAAGATAGTAATCAAAATTTACAGGTAGTTGCCTGAATTAATGGAGAATAGGAAGGAGAGCTAGCAATCTTCCATTAACAACATGAGAATATAGAGATGACAATGGTTCAGAGAATATGCGTTTTCATATGCGATTCCAATGACCATCCACCAGCATAAATGACCTATCATTCATATGAAAAGATAATAACTCCTTGAACTAATTGATGAACCAACTAATTGCAAGGATTGAACAACAAACTAGCTGCCATTGCCACGTCAGCAATGGAGATTGCCACAAATCACCTAGATTGCCTCAGTTAGTATGATGGATAGTGGAAAGTGCTTTAGACCATGTGTCATTAGCACCTAGTTAGGTCGAGCTTAACAGCATAGACAGATGAAAACCTCTATATCATTAAACATATAATAAATTTCAAGACTCCAAAAAGAAAATCGAAAATTATAGTATTAGACCTGTTTTGTTTTATGTTCCAGTTCACTTACAATTGCTAGTATATATCATTCTAATATTATTTGAAGCTATTGCTACTAAGCTGTACCATAATCTCCTATCTTCCATCTTGTTTTGATCTTTATGTCTTTTCTTATATTCAAGTTATTGTTCTTTGACTAACATTTGGTCATATCCAGAAGCATCTTTATCGGGAGTCGAGCCACTGATGAAGAAAATACACAATGAAATCCGTGTTGTGGATGCTGAAATTCTAGGAGCTGTTCGTCAACAGGTTATATAACATTTCCATTTAGATCCTTTTTCTCAAGTTATAAACATATATTACACTTGAGAGTTTAAGATAGTTACACCCTAAAGTTTCGGTTAATATTAAACTGAATATATGACAATGTCTCCATTCATTTACTTGATTGGGGTGACTTAAGTAATGTGATTGCTAAACTTTTCATTTGCAGAGTACATCAGGAACCAAAGCGAAGGAGGATCTTGCTGCAGCTACAAGTGCTGTGAATGTGTGTCAACATTCAGTGTTTTGTTGGCAATCAAGAATTGTTTTTCATTTATTTTCAGTGAGTTATATTTCATGTGATACCTTGGGTTTTGTTGCAGGAACTCATGTTTAAAGTAAGAGAAATCAAAACCAAAGCTGAGCAAAGTGAAACAATGGTTCAAGAAATATGTCGTGACATTAAAAAACTGGATTTTGCAAAAAAGCACATAACAACCACCATCACAGCCCTCCATCGTCTTACTATGCTAGGTTGGTTATTCTGTATGAAGAAGTTTTGCAACTTTATTGACATTTTTGTTTCTATGTGGTCATTATGCATAATTATATTTTATTAAGCAAAACATCAAGTGACTAGAAATTCATGTATGATGAAAACACGGTGTCTTTTTGGTTTCTTTGGTTTCATGGTTATATATGTATAATCCTGGTAAAAAAGCACCTTTTGATGATTAAGTTTTCAATTGTTATCATCACAATGAAAGTGGAAATCACTTGAAGAAAATAAACAAACAAAAAAGTTACATTCTTGGTCGAAGGAGAAGCGAACTCTGATTCAAAAATTCAATATAAGAAAAGGAAAAAGAAAGTTACCCTTTGACTACTAATCCTCAACATGCAATGTGGATTCTTCTATGTGCTTTTGCTTTCCTCATCTTGTCAATATGTATTTTTATTGTAGGAATGACCTGATTCTGCTTAAGCTACCTTTCCATTGTATTTACTTGATAGAACTAACTAGTCATTTGATATATATCCACCATGTTAACATATCTCTTTCAACCACTTCCAGAAATAATCTTTTCTTGCTTTTTTACAAGTTAGGTAGTGACAGAAGAAAAGGAAAAAAAAAAAGTCGGATTAACTGCAAATTATTTATTGTCTAGATGTAACTTCCAAGTAATGTTGGTTAAATCACAATTTTGACAAAGTGTTTTAATGTTTTTTACTTATAAGTAAGTATTCCTTCAGAAGGTGTTTTAATGTAATGTTGGTTAAATCACAGTTTCTGCAATCGAGCAACTTCAAGTAATGGCTTCAAAACGACAATATAAAGAGGCTGCTGCACAAGTAGAGGTATGTAAGCTGGTTATACATTAGTTTCAATAGAATAGTAATTACATAAGAATCACATACACATTCAAATATTTAAGGATTTATAGTATAATGCTACCATGTTAACCACTAGATAGCATTATCAATAGGATAAATTACTTGTAATAGCAACCAACTATCTTGTTGAATGGCAAAAGAATAGTTGGTTTCTTAAAATGAAAAAAAAAAAAACATGGAAAAAAGAACTCTTCTAGTTAGCTTTGCTATTTGATTTATCTTTTCCATTAGTTTATTAAGTTTAGTGTATTTAAGCTGCTAGTTGTTTTATTTTTTGCGAAAAGAAAGTGTGTTAATTGTCTAATATATATATGATTTAATTTGTTTTAGGCTGTCAATCAGTTATGTAGTCATTTTGATGCCTACAGAGATATTCCCAAGATCACTGAGCTAAGAGACAAGTTCAAGAACATCAAGCAAATTCTCAAGTCTCACGTGTTCTCTGATTTCTCCAGGTCTGTGAATTTGAAATTCTGTGGATTATGTTACTAGTATTTTGTAACATATTTTGACTTGATGTATTTTCATTTTAAGTTTTCTTGGAAAAAAAGCTAATCTTCTGTACATGTAGACTATTGGGGTGAGTTTGGTTGGATGGAATGGAATGATAGAGGAATGGAATAGGCAAGGTGATGGAATGAGTTATTACATTCCATGATCATGTTTTGTTGGCCTATACGATTAGAATGAATTTTCATATATTTGTTATATTATATGTAAACACAATATATAATTTGATCTCAATTTTATATATATATATATATATATATATATATATATATATATATATATATATATATATATATTATTAAAAATATAATTAAACAATTTTTTATTTACAAAAGTAAAAGTTTTATGCAAAGTAAAAGCTCATTAAACCCCAAATAAGTTATAACAGTAATTATATTAGATTATTCTAGAAACATCAAATTGTAATTTGATTAAAATAATTAAAAAAAAAAAAAAAAAAAAAGTTGTGTCATTAAAATGTACATGAAAATGGGTTATATTGCATTGTTTCATTCCATTCCATGTTGGAATGAAAAAAAAAAGGACCAAGGAAAGAACATTAACAAAATGGAAAGAATCACATGCCTTCATATTGGTCCATTTCATTTCACCAGGTAAAACAAACAAGGTTTTTCCCATTTCTATGGAATTGCTTTTCTGATTCCATCATAGCAAACACTACCCCCTTTAAACACCTCCTGCTTTTAGTTTTTACCCCTTCAAACACTCTTTCTAAATCATATTCAGAGTGTTATTATGCATATTATGTTAAGTTACTGTGTATATTGTCAAACTTATATGTACCCTGGTAAGTTTCATGTCCTTTATTTCTTATCTCCCAGCTTAGGTACAGGAAAAGATGCTGAGGAAAGTAATTTGCTGCAACAATTATCAGATGCCTGTTTGGTTGTTGATGCATTGGAGCCATCAGTGAGGGAAGAGTTGGTGAAGAACTTTTGCAATCGGGAGCTTATTTCTTACAAACAGATATTTGAAGGAGCTGGTTTGTACTTCTAACTGTTTATCTTCCTAGTGGCATTTCAAGCTTTTTTTAAAGATTTTTACTATCACAAGCTTTTCAAAAGCGTACTAACATTGGAGAAGAAAACTTTATTTTAAAAAAAAAAAAAATTATTTCTTCATAGTGCTTATTTTGTTTTATCCTTTTGTCACTTTACCCCCACCCCTCAATAACATTTTCGCTTTTCCCCTTTAATCATATTTGTATTTTAAATCTTTATTATTTTTTAAGTGATTGATCCATTTTATCAAGTATACAAATGAATATGAATATCTTTATATCGAATATCATTGAAAGGCATTTGTCAAGACGATCAGAATGACACCAATATCAAATATGAAAAACATAGCGATCATATAATATTGTAGAGTCTTTTATTTATATGACAACATATTTTTATCAAAATAACACCAATATCAAATATGACATGTGCTTAATAAACAACAAAATAGATGAAAGGGCCTTGTAAAACATTTCAAATAGATGAGGATTAATGTTTAATTGTAAAAAAACAGTTATAAGGATAGGATTTTGTTAAACAAAGTTAGTGGGAAATAAAAAAAGCTTTGAATATTGAATGGTCTTAGTTTGATAATACAACATCCAACTGAAGACTTGTTGCATTTTATCAGAGCTGGCAAAGTTAGATAAAACAGAGAGGAGATATGCTTGGGTCAAACGCCGATTACGTACAAATGAAGAAATATGGAAAACTTTTCCTGCTTCATGGCATGTGGATTACTTGATTTGTATTCAGTTCTGCAAATTGACAAGGTTTGTTGTTTTTGTTTTTTCTTGGGAAAATTGCAGAGAATAGCAACATACTTTACTCTCACTACCTATATGGACAATGTCATACTAGCAACAATGTATTATTTTTATTCCCTCCTATAATAGCAATGTACTTGCATTTTGATACCAATATGAGCATTGTATTTTTTGTTACATATTGCTATTATCGTAAAGAAATGTAAGTGTGTTGCTATTATGACTATGAGTAAAGAACTGTATACACATTGCTTTTTACATGTAAAAAATGTAAGTGTATTGCTGTTATGCGTTATATATTGCTATTATTGGTAAAAATTAAATTATCTTACCTATATTAGTAAACAGAGTAAAGTATGTTACTATTTCCTGCAATTTGCCCTTTTTTCTTCCCAGATGTAAGGGCAAATTTGTACTTCTTAATCCGTGTGAATCATATGTTCTTGTGTACAAAATAAGTGTTTGTCTTTTGTTGCATTTGGTTTTCACAGTTCCTTCTTTATATGTAAGAATAATTTCAAGAAAAATGTGTAATTAAATATTAGGTTTAGTGTATATGACCTAAACCTATACAAGATAAAATGTGGAATAGATAACAAGTTAGAAGTGAAGAAAGGCAATTCCATCTTTACGTCCAAAGATATAATGTATACATGATTTGTCTGAGATCATTTAAACAATTTGTGATTTGCTAATGGTTTTACAAGGACATTTGTATGCATATGTTCAATATGTCTGCCACATTGATCATTAACTGCACAAATAATATATAGGTTCTTAAGTTTAGTGCTGGTTTTATCCTTTTTTTTAACTCAAAGTACCCCAAAATTCTTTTCCTTTCAGGTCATATGCTGTTTTATATTTATCAATCTCATGCATCATTACTCATATTATTTCTTCTATATAAATTGTTATACCAGATTTTCCTTGATTTCAGGACACAACTTATTGAGATCTTTCAAAATTTGAAAGAGAAGCCAGACGTTGGAACACTACTTCTGGTAAATACTAATAATTAAATTCACATTATCTGACTGTTATCTTCATTTCAGCTCCACATTCTTTTTGTGGCATTTGGTGGACTTTCAGTTTAATACTTGAGAATGTTCCTTTTCTTGTATGTTTCCATCTACAATATGAAGGTCCTTTTCTTCTGAATTACTTTTATTTATACAATCTTCAATAACACTAATGTTTCTATCAAATTTCAAAACTTCAATCAAATTATATATATTTTTTATAAAAATAACTGAAAATATTTTTTTATAATTCTAATTTAAGAGTTCATGGTGTTTAATATTTAATTTTCATAAACAATTTTCTTAAAATGATAAATATTTTTTGTGACTATTGACGATTTGATTGATATACATACACCATATATCTCAAACGACATGAAATATGTTCATATGCAATATATTTAGCAATATATCTTCATCTGACTAATGTTTATTGTTCAAAACTAATATTTTTTTTCTCTATTTATCAATTTAATTTTATTCAGTTTTAGAATTATAGGTACACATTCCATTCCTTCAAGCCAACTAAACTTTTGAATCGAATGCAATGTTCCATTCCACTACCTTGCTCATTCCATTCCATCATACCAAGTGGAGGTTTATTCTGTTTTGATGTTTATTATTGCAATGTAAATGGTATATTTTTCATATGAAGAGATGATTAGTTTTCTTGATTCCACATTTTTTGGCCTGATATGGTATTGAGTTAATTAATATCTTTATGCATGAGACATGAGAGTTTTTCATCATTTTCTAGGCTCATTCTGGGATTCTGTTTGTTGTTATTTCCTTAAGCCAAAATGATTTCAAAAATTATGTGGTATTTAGTTCCTGGTGTTTATTTTGGTTGAACATGCATGAAGGCATTGCAACGGACAATAGAGTTTGAGGAAGAGCTAGCAGAGAAATTTGGTAGCAGTAGTACCAAAAGTGTTATGAGTGACATTGAGGAAGTAGATAAAGGGGAAAATAGTACTCAAATTGTGATGGACATTCGAAAGAAATATGAGAGAAAACTTGCTGCACATCAAGGAAACCATGATGATGTATGTGATACTGGTTCCTTTAGTTTTTACTAATTACATTTTCATTTTTGCAAGTTTAGTTCTAATCAGGCTCATATTTTACATGCTGATGCTACCTCTCTGATGTCAGGATAAAGATGCAAATAAAGATCTGGCTGTACCTGGAGCTGGGGTACTTTTTTTTTTTATATATATTATAATTGTTATCATTATTATTATTATTATTATTATGTGTTAGATGTGAGATAAAAGGTGTATCCTTTTAGACACAATTTTCTAGGGGTGTGCAAAAAGAACGATACAGAAAACGACAATTTGTTTTTGGTTTTTCGAAAAACCGATTTTTTAGGTTGATAGGTTCAAATTGTTTTTTTAATATATAAACCGAAAAAACTGAACTGAATTAAAATAACCAAAACGACATTGAAAACAAAAACAAAATGGAGTTTTTCTCATCCATGCAATTTTCTCTTATCAAGTATGGGCTCCGTGAACTATTTTCTTATGACATCAGGCAAATGATTCAGAAAAAAAAAAATAAAGAAATGATAAACTTCCAACATCTATAATAATTGTAACACAACTATTCAACTCTTCAAGTATTTACTACTAATTATAAGTTTCTTTCCATGGTTATTGCAGTTTAATTTTTGTGGAATTATATCATCCTGCTTTGAACCACACTTGATGGTATATGTAGAATTAGAAGAGAGAACTCTTATGGAGCATCTGGAGAAACTTGTTCAGGTATTATATTACATTACATTACATCACTCTCCCTTTTCATTCAGAAGCTTTCGGTCTTTTGCTTTTACTTTCTGACACGTGTGCATTAATTACAGGATGAAACATGGCATATGGATGATGGAAGTCAGACTAATATTTTGTCCAGTAGCATGCAGGTAACAACATTAAATTCTTAAGATATATTTTTCCCTGAGGAGTATTCAAGATTTGGATAATTCATTTTCTTTTTCGATCAACCTACAAATAAATTTACTTTATGCTTTTGTTAAATTTCCCACTGTATGGAAGTTTATTGGAGAATGAACTTTTGATGCACTGACATTTTCCTCATTTTGTGTAATCTTGTAATAAAAATTTTCTTTTATTTATGTTTTTAGCTTCCAGAATTAGTTTCCCTAAATTTTCTGGCATTGCTTTTAGAGTCAATTACATTTTTCATACTCCCCGTGGATTAGTGGGCTTTTCAGATTTGGTCAAAAATGGGATTTTTTTTTTTCTTTCATTTTTGGTCCCTATTTCACTCTTTCATAATGCTTTTGGTCCCTAACACTAACACGGTTTGTTCCGTTAAGCCATTGTAAAATGACCAATTTGCCCCTGTTTTATAATTTTATTCATAAACACTATTCTGGATTTTGGTTGGGGGAGTTGGGGCCCACTCTATAATAATAATAATAATAATAACAATCAATAATAGCATAAAATGGAGGGCAAAATGGACCAAAAGCATTATGGAATAGTGAAATAGGGAAATGAAATGAGAAAAGATTCTTTTTTTGGACCAAATCCGAAAAGATCACTAAAGCACAGGGACAAAAATTGTAATTTACTTTTGCTTTTAAGTAATGGATATGTAAGCTGTTTGGTCAAGGGAAGTTTCCAGCTAACCAGAAAGCGCTTGATGGCTGTAGTCTCACAAAGTCAGTATTTCTGACAAATTGCTAACTTATTCAATTTTTTTTCTTGCTAAAGGTCTTTCTAATCATCAGAAGGAGTTTAAAACGCTGTTGTGCCTTGACAAGAAACCATACACTCCTAAATTTGTTCAAGGTATTTGTGAATATGAATAAATTATTTGAATGTTGTTCATTGTCATGTATCAAGGATAGTGAGGGCTGTGAATTATCAACCTCTAGTTAATATGAATTCATTTGTTTGTTAATCACACATTTATGCTGTTACGTATTATCCGAATATACCAGGAATTATCAGCTTGGATTTTTCGGAGTCTCAGAATTTTCTTTAGTATTTGGTTTAATTAAATGTGCAATTTATAAAATTATGTATTCATTTATAATGCTATACCTAATAATCTCCTTTTGATAAATAGTTACTACTTTAAATTATTAAAATGAATATGGAAACGCTGATTCAGTAAATGTTATACTAACAAAAACCATAAACTCCAAGTCTCTAGTATCTAATTCCTAAATGAAAACTTAAGAATAAAGACAAGAAAATCATATTAATATATAAGTTATATTCACATATTAGAAAAACCTCTTATAAAATTAGAACAGTGAAAACTGATATACATCATATGTTATTAAGTATATGTGAAAAGTTTTGTTAATATAATATTAGTGATATAATATTAGTGACAACAAAGTAGTAAATTAATATCAGCTACCAAATGCCTAACATAATGATAAAGGAATAAGCATTTAACTCATTTATTTAAATAAAACATCTAAATTTTATATATAATGAATTTATAATTATGTTTTAGCCTAAAATGTTATGAATTTTCAAGTGATAAATATAGAGGTAATTGAAATATTATACAGGGGTGTAATGAGGAAAAATGTGGGCTGCATGGGGAAAACTTATTGTGCATTACATTTTCTTTCTTAAATATTCTTACTTAGTGCTATTACCATATCTTCTTTTACGTACGCGTATTAAATATTTTTATTTTGGGGATTTAAATTGTGTTTTTTTTTATTCTAGTAACTGAAAAATATATGATTTTTGGGTGGCAGGTCTTTAAGAGAGTTCTTAGAGCCTATGCTACAAAACTTTTTATGAAGCTACCTAAAGGTGGTCTGGGAATTGTTGCAGCTGCCACTGGTATGGATGGACACATCAAGGTATAGTTCACTATATATATATATATATATATATATATATATATATATATATATATATATTATCACTTTAATTTGTTGCTTTCGGTTTTTTATGCTATTATGCTAACATTATGTGCCTCTAAATACAGACATCTGATAAAGACGAAAGGCTGATATGCTATATAGTCAACACTGCTGAATATTGTCATAAAACGGTTAGGTCACTTCACAAATTCCGATTTTTTTTTTTGTGGGCTTTGATTAGGTGTCATCAGAGTATGTTAGTCATAAAACAACAGTTGACTGATTTGACTTTGTGATGAAAAACATGAGAATAACCTGTAGCCCAACTTTTTAATGTTCAAATGTTATAGAAAGGGGGCATTTGGTTTGTGGATCGACGGAATAAGAATCCTGGATTGTACCTTTTTTTTTTTTTTTTTTTAACTTTAAGGTTTTAATGGTTAAATCCTAAAATAATTATTGCGAATGGTTAAACTGAACAAATTCCAAAACTGTAGTGGTTTTTATAAAATTCAAAGTTTTATGTAGTGGTTTTTTTTGGAAAAAAAAAACAAACAAACAAATTCTCATTGGTTAAACCAAAAAATCTTTGAGTGGTGAAACTGAAAAAAAATATAGTACAGTGTTTTTATGGAATTTGGCCTTTGTCAAAAGACTAAAATACCCCTGTTATAAGGATACAAATGTTTTATCTTTGTTAGAAAGCCTTTCCTGAGTAATCTATATAGCAGTAACGTTGAGTTCATTACTTATACAGGCGGGTGAGTTGGCTGAAAATGTCTCAAAAATAATAGATTCCCAATTGGCTGATTCAGTGGATATGTCAGAAGTCCAGGTAATATTACAAACTAAGGATATACAAGTCTTCTTTTTGACATGACATGACCACCTTGTACTATGTTTGACTTGCATTGGATGGGACTCATGTCAATGGAACAACCATTGCAATCTCTGAAAAGACGTAAATACCCTTTTCTCAGAATGATTATTTTATTTATACAGGATGAATTCTCATCAGTCATAACAAAAGCATTAGTAACATTAGTGCATGGCGTAGAGACTAAATTTGAGGTTGAAATGGCTGCAATGACACGTGTTCCTTGGGGTATGCTTGAAAGTGTGGGTGACCAATCAGGGTAAGGGCCTGTTCCTGTTTCTTTCTTTGTTGGATTGAGTGAGTAAATTACCATTTTACCCTTGTGTTTTTACAAGGGAATTTCAATTTCTTAATATTTTCAACACCAATTGCATGAATATGATCTGATCTATTTCACTGTGTTGCAGGTATGTCAATAGCATAAATATGATTCTTAGTGGTTGTGTTCCTGTACTTGGAAGCCTTCTTTCTCCAGTTTACTTTCAGTTCTTCTTGGATAAGGTCAATGATTTTTTTATTCCATGCATTATTTATTTCCCTCACAGACACTTCCTACTTTTGCAGTCATTACTAAATTTTTCCTGGAGTTTGATTTTTTAAAACAGACAATTCTATTTTTTTTTTTTTTTTTTTTTTGACTTCCAAGTTGATAAAAGTTGAGTAAATTACAATTTTGGTCCCTGAGGTTTTTGATCCCTATTTCAAGTAAAATGACTATCTTTGGGACCAAAATTGCAAAAATCAGCTATAATCAGGGACGGAAAATGTAATTTACTCTTAAAGGATTTACTAAGTGTTTGCCTTTTCTTTTCGGTTTTTTTAACAGTTTTATGTTTTTTATTAACCATTGGTATAGTATTTAGCAAAAAAAAAAAAAAAAAACAAGTAATGTACTAAAAATAATGCAAGATGATCGTAAAGACATGGTGATTACATTTTCAGCCCCTGAACATAGCTGGTTTTTGCAAATTTGGTCCTAAAAAGTTTTCTTTGCTCCTTATTTGAGGATCTTGTAATGTTTTTGGTCTCTTTTCCTAATAAAATGACTATTTTTGGTCCCTGAGTATAGCAGATTTTTGCAATTGTGGTCCCAAGAGTATAGTCATTTTATTTGGAATAAGGACAAAACATTAAAAAGGTCTCAAAAAAGGACCAAAACTGCAAGAAAACTTGTTCGGACCAAATTTGAAATTTAAAAAAAAAAAAAAAAAAACCGAACCTAAAAATCATGTTATGGTGAGTGTAACTTGAAAGTGCTCCTGACTTAAGTCATCATCTCATTATATGGTGCACAGCTGGCTTCATCTCTAGGTCCACGTTTCTACCTCAATATCTTCAAATGCAAGCAGATATCAGAAACCGGAGCTCAACAAGTATCAATCATCTTAAACTTCTTCGTTTCTTCTTGCTATTTGCATTTTGCAAATAAATCAATATATGAAATTTAACATGTGATTCTTGTGCAGATGTTATTGGATACTCAAGCCGTAAAGACAATTCTTCTAGATATTCCATCCCTTGGAAGACAGGTAAATTTTATTTGCAATTGTTATGCCCCATACAAAAAGACATGAATACCCTCCATCAACTGTTAGGCTTCTTTTCGCTTTACCCACCTTTGAATCTAGCGGCATGTAGGACCCAAATATGAATCATGCATGTTCATAAGTTGAAAGGGTATTTTGGGAATTTCACAGTTGGTCATTAAATCCTAGTCAGAATGAATATTGCAATTTAATAAACTAACAGTTGGTTCAACGATTTTTGTTCGTGTAATAGAATTAGATGGAGAAAATGCAAATCTGAAGCTGTTTTTATCTCATTTGTCACGTTTTATATAAGATTGTCATGTTACTAATTAGAAAGTGTTTTTTGTTAACAGGCAATAGGAGCTGCTGGCTATTCAAAATTTGTAAGCCGTGAAATGAGCAAAGCGGAAGCACTCTTGAAGGTGAGTAACACAACAATAAAGACAAAACAAAACAAAACGACTTTGTAGTATGTTTGGCATGCATTGGACTGATGATATCAATGGAAAAAGAAAATAAGAATTTTTGTTCTCATCTGTGCAAAAGACGTGACTACCCTCATCATTGAAAATAGCCCTGTGTTCTGTTTTGTCATGTGTTACAAACACAACCTCAAGAAAATTATGGTTGACATGGTGTACTTACTTTGTTGTAATTGTATATGTTTATATATAGGTTATATTGTCCCCTATTGATTCTGTAGCAGATACATATGGAGCACTTCTACCCGAGGGAACACCTTCAGAGTTTCAGAGAATTCTAGAGCTCAAGGTTTGTTATGGTCATTTTATTTCATTTCCTATTTTTCATTTTTTATGGGTCCCATTTTCATGACTAGAAATGGAAATGGGACCCACAAATTGGAGAAGTGGGAAGGTATTATCCTAAAGCAAGAAAAACCGTATGTTTTATCTGGAAGGGAATGGACCATTTTTGAAGGAATGTGACTCCTTACATTTTTCAAAATTTCATTCCTTAGCCAAAGGGTGCTTTTGTTCTCATGGAATGGAATTATAAATTATAATATAACCTATTTTTATTTGTGTAATGTAAATAAATTATTTTAAAAGTTACTAATTTCTTTATTATCATAATCTTATTCGTGTTTTATTCATTTTGTAAAGAAAAAAACTATTAATTATAATCAAATAAAACATCTAACCAAACACACTATTACAATATCATTGACAATCATTTTTACTTCACAGGGGCTAAAAAAGGCCGACCAACAAACAATACTAGACGATTTCAACAAACGTGGGTCCGGGATTTCGGAATCGCCAATGGGCACGCAAGCAGTCCAGGTGGCACATGCGGTGGCAACTCCTGTGCCACCACCCATGGCGGGTCCACCTTCAGCTGCAGGTATCTCATCAAGAGAAGATGTGCTTACTAGAGCAGCGGCACTTGGAAGAGGTGCCGCCACAACTGGATTCAAAAGGTTCCTGGCATTGACTGAAGCAGCAAAAGACCGCAAAGATGGACCCTTCCGTAAACTTTTCAATCCCTGATTCCGCACTTAGTCGTTGCAATTCCAGGTTTTATTCTTTCGTTACGTTTTTCATTTTATGGGCCCATGAACGCAAAATAGTTGAAAGTAAGGGTGTGTTTGGTTCCGGGATTCCGACGGAATCGGAATTCAAGATTCCATTCCATGACTTGTTTGGTTCATGGATACCGGTGGAATTGGAATTTGAAGTTCCATTCGGTGGCATGTCTGGTTGCTAAATGGACGAAATTCAGTTTCGTTGGAATCCTTCAAATTCCATGTTTCATGGATTTCATCGAGGGGGAGGGTGGAAGGGATTTGGTTCCAATCTTTAAAATACCAAAATACCACCGTTATATATGTTGAAATAAATTAAAATATAAAATAGCTCAATATATATTTGTAACAAACAAAAGTATTTGAATAAAATAATAATTTAATACTAATTATTAACTTTTTTATTATTGAATCCCAATCCATTCCTTCCAAAAACATTCTAGGAACCAAATGCCCCCTAGGGGATGAGCACATTGCTTACTGATTTAGCCATTTAACTATTGTTTGTAGTGATTAAACAAACCATTATGCTTTTTTGACAGTTTATAGAAAATCTTTTTCCCTAACTTTGATATCAAGGCATAATACAAATATATATATATATATATATATATATATATATATATATATATATATATATATATATATATACACATACATAATGTACTTTCACCATTTTATCAATTTGGCTATTGAACTATTATTTTTTTAGGGTTAACTGCAAGAAATAGCTACTTACTTTCATTGAATTGGTAATAATAGCATTTCACATTCATTTCTTCCTATTACAACATACTATGAAAAATCTACCCGAGTAAAACCAAATGCAAAACAATTCTCTCTGCTATGATAAAATAAAATAAATTGGAAGTACAATGTTATGTGTGGATAGAATTTTCAAAGTACAATGCCATAATAAGAAAAAAAAATTGTAAGTACAGTGTTGTAATAGAAAGAGATGAAAGTTTGACATGCTATAACACATAAATAAATGAAGGTATGTTGCTATTTCTTGAATTTAACCCTAATTTATTTTTATTGATTTAGCCACCCAACTCTTATTAGAACAATCATAAAAGTTAAATAGTTTAGTGCCTAAATCGATTAAATGGTAAAAGTAATTCACTAATTCATTTTTTTTTTTTTTTGTATTTTATCCCTTTTTAAAACCCAGTAGGGCAGTAACTATGAAAAATAGTTATTTTCAACGGTCAAAAATAATAATAGTTTAATCACTACAAAAGATAGTTAAAGGAGCTAAATCGATAAAACAAGGTTTTGTATTTTTCCTAAAAGTAATAATTTTTGTAACCGTGTTTAGTAAACCTAATTCTCATTTTAATTTTCTGGTTTTTAGGCCACAATAATCAAATTTTCAGGAGCCCTTGAGGAGTTGTCACAAGAATAGATATTTTTTTAGGGTAAAATACATTAAACTGAGAGAACCAAGGAATTCAATCACGACCCTCGGATCAAATTCATCCAACGGCTTTGATTTGTAAAGGGCCAACCTTTTTGTAACCGGCCATGTTATCTCATCCACCGATTGTTTTCATCCAAGGGTCGAGATCGAGTTCTCTGATTCTCCAAAATTTGAGTTTTCATATCAACAAATAGAAGCTAAGAGTACATTTGGTTCTGGAATATTTTCTAGTTTTCCATAAAAATTTCAAATGAAAATGAAAATTTTGAAAAATTCAGTTTTTAAAACTTTTCCAAGAAAATAAAAATTTTCAATTTTCCAAATTGTATGTAAATTAGAAAAGTGATTTTTCTAGTTTTTCAAAGTTTTCTAAATTTCTAAGTTGAAAAATAAAAACTCCACCGGTTCCAACCAAACGTGTTTTCTAAAATTTTCATTGAAAACTGAAAATGAAAACTCAACTCTATTTTCTAAAAACATTTTCATGGAAAATGAAAATAGTTTTCTACAACCAAACACATCTTAAACGTTTTTGCATTACTTTGCAGATAGGAAAATATGCACGTGAAATTATCAATTCTGTTCATATGTCTCGCATTTGCATACCGATGATCAATCGTTTTCCCCTTTCATTGAAGTGGCCATGATCTTGAATTTGTTTGTGTTAATTCATTCATTAAATGATTAGTAAATAAAGCATAGCCTAATGATGTAGTAGACTAGTGAATGCAGTAAATTAATTGAAATGTGCAAGATTGCTTCCCATATCTCGCATGCTTGTTGGTCTCGACTTGGGTCCGATGAAATATTAATAAATTTCGATGAAATAATATATTTTAAAATAGCGTTAGTGTCATTGTGCCAAACACCTGTTAGGTTTTTTGTTAAAAGGTTCTTCAATTAATTTTTGTGTGTAGTCCAGGTGCTTAAATTGTCATGGCTTGTCTTAGTGAAGCTACTTTTTCAAATGTGAAGGGGTTGGTCATTGCCCCTCTTAGCTGCCACGTTAAAATAATTTATATTTTATTTATATTTAAACTAGTTCTTACATCGATCTTAAAGATAAATGGACAACAAATTATGTCGCTACGGATTACAAAATTGATTCTTTTGAAAGCTACATGTAGAAATCTTAGGGTCATAACATTATATACATAGCATGTTGGGTTCTATTAAGAGACTCCAAGAAAAGCAAAAATATCAAACATGAATGGTAAAAACAAATTGATTTTTTATGCACATTTCTTTGTGTTTTGTGACTTTGGATGATGCAACTTTTTATACATATGTGCTTCCCTCAAACTGGCCAAGGGTAAAAGTAACCAAGGTGGGTTGCTTGACCCACATATACATTTTTTTTATAAAAGGTTAAATAAAATTAAATTTATGATCTATCCTAACATTTTTGGCAAAAAAAAAAAAATTAAGACCATATTTTATATTTTAATAGTCCAAAATTTTTAAGATATAATCCAATATGAATAGCCCAATACAATTTAAATAAATAAATAAAAAAACAATAATCGTGAACCATAGTCGGAAGGTGTTTGGGATTGCTTTAAAAACGACTTTTTGACTTTTCACCTTTTACAAAAATCAAAAAAAAATGCAAAAGATCTTTGTCAAGTTAAAAAATTCTTTTTAAACAACTTTTGAGCAAAAGAAAAAAAAATGTTGATTTTAAAAGTCACAATGACTTTTAGGATTTTTGTATTTCTTAAAAGCAATTTTTATCTTTTTACCATCCAAACATATTTTAAACCATAACTTTTGGAAAAATACATTTTACAATAAGTACTTTTATAAAAAAGACTTTAGAGCTAAAAAAAATTTATCCCAAACACCCCTTCAGTCTCAACGACGATTGCTTCTCCAAGCTTCGATCCCATCTTCCAAACCTTGATTAGATCCATACATGCAATTTGTATTTTTTTTTTTTTTATATATATCAATTTTATTTAAACAGTAAACCAGCCATCTGATTTTACTATCTAGACTCTAAACCATCCAAAAATTAATATTATTGCCGTGACATAAGGTTAGAGACGTTCTTTGGATGTATTTAGGATTGTTTCTGTTTAAATTTGATAATTATAATAAAAAGATATTTGTGTTTTGTTTTTGTTTCCATTTTTGAACATAATCATTTTAAAACTCACATCCAAACATCACTGAATCAAACAAGTTGCTATTCCTTCCACATTGATAATGGAGCTTACTTCCTGCCGCCGTATCGCCGACGCCAATTCAGGCAAACAAAATGAATATAAAAGAAGAAACTATTCAATTTTTGAACTCCCCTCGAATTTCTTTGATTCCTGCGGTTTCATTGAATTGCTTTCAACCCCTGAACTCACCAACAACCCCGCTACTACTCAGGGAAAAACCGCAGAAGAAACAGAGGTGGCGCCGGAGAAGAATGCTAGTTCTAGTGAGAGATTGACGTGTAATACTTGTAAATCCAGTTTTGAGTCGCTTCATGATCAACGGTCTCACTTCAAGTCCGATTTTCATCTATTCAATGTAAATTCTCTTGACCTAACTTAATTAAGTGTGCAGTTCGTATATATCATATTATTGAAATTTCATATGCTTCATGAAGTATGATTAATGCTTTTTTATCTCAGATAAAGTTAAGCATTGCTGGAAAGGATACTGTTAGGGAGGATGATTTTGATGAATTGACTTCCAATTCCATAGTTAAAGATTATGATATATCAAGCATATCAGGTTCAGAAAATGAAGAAAACAGAGAATTTGACAGCCTCAGTGATTCAACTAAGGGATTGTTGGGAAGTATGAAGCAGAAGATTTTTATGCATCTATCCAATGGAGAAACGATTTCCTTCTGGAAGTGCTTGCTTCTTGGTGACTCTGAGAAAATTCTCTATGAACATGATTTACATTGGTTTACAAATGACGATAATACCCTTTGTGTGACAGTGAAGGAAGTGACTGAGAGACTGCTGAATGTGATCCATGAACCTAGAAACAACACCCGTTTTAGAGTCATGTTGCTTGCTACTGGTGGGCATTTTGTTGGTTGTGTCTTTGATGGAAACTCCATTATTGCCCACAAAACATTCCACAGGTCTGTTTTTTATCTATTTAATTTGCTCCAAAAAATAATTGAGCTTAAAATTAATGAATCCTTTCCCAGAACTAAAAATATACCTTCTTTAACTCCATGATTGTAAATAATATATATATATATATATATATATATATATATATATATATATATATATATATATATATATATAGTTCATGTAATTTAGTTGCATATAATATCCTCATTTGTATATCTTGAAACGAATTAATCCTTGTCAACACCACCATCATTAAATAATTAGTATATATTGTTAGGAATTTGTAATTAGAAGGATCAATGATATTTTCATGCTTATAGAAGAGAATAAGTTCTTTGTCATTGTCACAACTCACAAAAAAAGCTTGTATGAACAAGAGAAACTTATCTGGTATCCAAACAATCAGATTTTATATGCAATCTTAGGTAGTGTTTGGTATGATGGAATGGTTTT